ACTAAGAAACTATATGGCGCCTCACTCCCCATGTCCTCTTTGAATACTCTAGTCTTCAGTATTGCTTTCCCAAACTGTAAGGCAACTAATCACACTTCACATGTCTCCAAGTTTCTCCTTCTCTCCCGATATGCAGATTATGATGGTGGATCATACCAATACGCTGAGCATTGGGATACACTCCGAACCTCTGTTCAACGTGTGGGAACTTTCATCTCTTGCCACCTACAGATGCAAAATCACCAGAAGCCAGAGAATTCATCTCAGACTATGACCTCGCCAAACCCATGGCCCCAATTGGGACAGCGTCAAGGAATGTTGGTATCAAATGCCGTCTGCATTCAGATATGCAATTTCTTCCAGTCCTGACAATTGCTCACCTAGAATCGAAGCAAACCGACACGCCGACCTTGGAGTCCTATTGAACGGCGGTACCTCCTATATTCTCCACCATAATTCGACAACAGCCGCTGGATAGAATTATCGCCCCTGCTTTACTTAGCCAGATGGCCCTGTTTACAGCATCATAGATCTGAACAGTTACTGCGCTCTGCATGAAGCCATACAATATCAGACCCAAATTTGTGTCCGACGTCCATCCCCAGTTTCGCCCGTCACCTGTAGACAGTACAAACTTGTTGAATAATGAGGTATCTTCAGATTCATTTGTTCTTAATAGTTGATATGCAATATACTCTTATAAAGTACGTGACTCGCTGTTGTCAGGATACTCCTCATACCGAGAGATTGCACCCACGTTAGTTTTCACCGCCGCTGTTTAACGATATCGCTTTTACCCAATATTTGTGACCACCAATACCTAAACAATTGTTTGCTCCAGAAGACTTGGCACGGCACACCGATTTGTTTCTTTCTAAACTTTTACAGCTTAAGTAAGGAAATAAAATTTGGACACTGCCTGCAAAAATGGAATGTGTTCGCATGGTTCATTATTCGAAATTTATTATTATTATAAATGGTTCCTGATTTTGACACCTTGGGTGTTTCCCTTCGGGTTTGCATCCTTATCACTATATGCCTGCGGTGATAAAAATATATTTTTGCTAGTTAATTTGGGGCTTCACGACGGATGCTGTACTCCTGCTCTTTTGATTTACTGACCACAGCCGTCGGGTATTTTTCTGACTGCAGAATGTGGATTAAAACGTTCTTAAATAGGGGGATGGCCGAATAATTCCTAATTTCGAACTAAGCCTGCTTCAACACACCTTTTATATGCCATGAATAACGGTATCTAATGTTAGCTTGACACTGTACATAATAGTCATTTCTTATTACCAAAATGATCAAACCTGCAAACTGGTTCGTATTCTCGTAACCTGTGTTGTATGAAATATGTATATTGTTATTTCATTAGGTTCATAATAGAAGAGTGCAGAGAACGGCGGACAACTTTCGCCCACTAGTGGATCCTCAGGAAAACCTCCAAATTTATTTACCAACTGTGCGCAGAAGGCGGAAAATTTATAAGACCGCCTGACGACTGAGGCAGTGAAAACATCGGCGCCTCTTCAACAAGCCAGTACCGTTGGACGTTGTCAAAAAAGGGTAGTAAACTCAAGCGGCACCATAACCGAGCACCGTGACTTCAAGTACCCTCGTAGAAAGTAAACATGGTAGAGCTGTCCCCTAATTTTTATTCTCACCGCTCCGTCTGGCGTCGCCACGTGCAATAACCTCTCAGACAGTAGTAGTCGCAGCAGCTCTAAACCCATCAAAAGTGCGCGAGAAAAAACCCCGTCTCACTAGGGAAAACCGTGAAGAAATAGCTTATTTCACCATGTGGGATGCATCATGAAACTTGCAGTCTTACTGCCTAAACCATTTCCTCGGTCCAACGGTCCTAAGTAGATCTAAGCACAGGAGGGAACGATGCCTCAGTTAACCGAGAAACGATGACTATTGCTACCAGTTTCTCGAGGTTGACCATAAAAGAAAACTCAGTGGATGATACAAAAGTTAGCAAACTTGTAGGTATGAAAGTGGAAATTTCTGGAGGCAAGGTAATGTTAGACTTAATTTATCTGGTAACGAAGGAGAACACTTTGTAGTTAACATGCCTGCAATGCACGAAGCGACCAAAAAATTCGAGAAGAATAAGTTGGGTCGTCAAGAAAATCAGCCTAAAAGGCATGCCTTCCACTAAATTTTATCCTTTACAAGTGTACACCGGGGTACTTTAAAAGTTTTCACACGTGAGATACTCCTCAAATCACTCACCTCTACGGAGACCATGATGTGGTGCCACTTGTCATATAAAAAGCCTGAATGTCCCACATGTCACAAACAGTCCGAATCCACCCGTATATCCCAATGATCCAGCCCAGCGCTTTGGGAACACATGCATGGTTTCCGCTAATCGTCTCTGCATTCTTGAGACTCAGTCTCGCTCAGTCTTGGTATGTCCGTAATATTAGTAGCACATCATCTAACAAATTAAAAACAGGAAACTATTTTGACTAACCAGGCTGGAGAGATATTGCAGGCTACTTCACAAGCCATAGGAACCTTTCGGCACCTCCTCTCATTGATGCACATCCGTTAATTAAGAGAATATTTGTCCTAAGAAAACAGTCCCACTAACCGGATGCATCGTGATAATTGTTACTGAAACATAGTGAGAATCTGTGAATAGATGGTTTTGAGTTATACTGCACCAAATGCGGACATAGGCGTGGTGAAGGTTGTCCAAAGTAAACATATAGCTTTACAGCGGCGAACAAGACTGAAAATGGTATACTAAGTGCTTTGCCGGATTTTCTGTGGGTTATTACAAACGGCACCAACCAATAACCGCGATGACTTCCCAAAGATTTGTTTACAACCTTCAGTCCGAAAAAGAAATGAAGAATTCATTCAGCACAAACTGAACCGAAGTAACACGATGCAGCAGACAGGTCTCACATGAAGTTAAAATGAACTTGATATCGATATCACCCAGGGGACCTGAAATTGAGTGAAGACAGGGAAGCCGTTAGGGGCGACTGAATAATATTTTACACTCGCCCACCTGACAAACACAGACGCAGGAACTGAAAATTATTCATAAAATTAGGTATCCAGTGGTCTCTATCTCAAGTAAACTAATGAAATTTGCATCAATGCCATTCAAAACGATGATCACTGCACTCATGAAATCGAGTTGTTTTCGTCTAAATGTTTTGTATTAGGAAATCGTCCACGTCTTACAGTGAAATTGGTTTTCTAAAATCTCCCGCTTGAATTAAGTCAATTATTTCTACCTTAATAACTCTTTATGGTCCCCATAAGCTGACTCGCATATCATTAATTATCCCTGAGAGACTTATCGTTTGTTAATATCGGGTTCCCAACTCGGGAATTAGCATAAAACTCCTTCTAGTTGAACATCACTCTCAGAAATGAGATATAATTCTTCAGGACGTCTTCTAAAACGCCTCACAAACAGATAACCCGCTTTCACTTCCTACTTTGGTGGCCAAATCTCTACCCGTTCGGTGAAATTCAATGGTAACTCCACGGCTTTACAGGTGTCGCATTCGCTCAAACAACCAGCATCGAAACATTTGTTTCCAGAGCGGCAGGTGATCGTCAAATAGTCCACAAAACATAGCCAGTCACACAACTACCGTCAGTAAGGCGTTCCAACTGGGATAATGCCAATGAGGAGCAATTAAGACCGAACTTCTCTTCATCGCGAGACCTAGCTTTACAGCTGTCTACAACGGCAGGGCGTCTCGCATACGAGTGGTTCACTGTTTGCTAGACCACTAACGGTTTCAGTGCTACAAAAAATCGTGGCCCCCCTAGTGTATATTCTTAAGAACTTCTGTGTGAGTGGTTCCTCTCGAATCTATGCACTACCTGTTTATTCTAGGTGGCATTCGTATTGGCGAAAAACTTAGAGTAGAAGGTGTACAACCACACTTCGTATTCACAAAAGCAGAAGCTGGCTGTACCTTAAACCACGTCCCCATATTTACCATACCGCGGTTAGAACGTCTGTGCATAAACTAAAATTTCCATCCCAAGATAATTTAGTCTGTGAGCAACACCGATCTTCCGGCCCATAAACCGAATGTAGCCGTAAGTCGTTGGCCAAAACTAGGCATCTTAGGACGAACCTGAAAGATGATTGCTCCTTCATTACATCGTATATGTGGAATAGACTTTCCGAAGAAACACATGCTAGAAGTTCATTGCCCTCTATTGCTTCCGACCTGGGCCCACCACCAACTTGGCCTGTTTTTATGCCTCCTGGGCTAACGAGAGCGCGTTTGGACCCCTAAAGGCACAAAATAAGATTGCAACAGCCCTTGGTTTCTCTTTTCCAAAGGATTTTAAAAATGAATGTGCGAATACCACTTCCCCTGCCCACTGTGGACAGTTTGAAAAGTACAAATACATAAACTGTATAATCAGATTTCATTCTAATTTTATCACAAAATGTCACTCTGCGGCTAGGATTTTATGGAGGTCCCAAAGCGCAGACTGTATTGAACAGGTCAGCTTGCTGCACTACAAAACACACGATGACCCTCAATAGTTTCTTTTATGAAAGTGTTGCTCAAACATCGTATGAGAATGTTAGGCTATACATCGATGAGGATCATGAATATGTTCCTTGCATCAAGACATGCCATCACAGATTTAAACTTCAAACTCCATGTCATAGAAACAAGGAAAAGTGGTTTCTTAGGGTACGCGCTCATGTTAACGGAATACTTTCTATGTTTGCAATGGTCGGCCGTTTTCTAGGATCAATGAAACTTGAAGGAACAGATAACCAGTTAGTTAGTTTGACAAAGGTGACGCATAGTATTAGCTGTTCAAGCTACTGGTGACACGAGTAGTCAGTTTCGATTAGTGGCAGTTACTTTAAGGTTTCGGAATCTCCCGTCAATTCTGTGAAGTTTGTTTGACTGACTACCTCATCTGAATCTTCAGCTTGTTCACCTTGATGCATAGAGTTCGGCGGCATTTAAAATTTTGTTGTGACCATGTCGTCTAACGCTGCTAGCATGCTATCTCTGGGAGGGGAGAGAACGAGTGGCGAATCTGTTCGCAAGCAAAACGGTGAGTTTATTTTATTAGTTTTCTGCATATGCCAGTTATTTTGCATGATATCTTCACTTCTGTGCCGACTAAGGTCCTCCTTACCCATCCGGCTTCCTTGTAAAGACAAACGTTGAAGTGGGATACGAAGTTTCTAGTCGACTAAAAGGAACGTTTTAGCTTCGTGAATCGATTAATCGTGCATATCTAAAATATTCAATTATTATTCGGTAATATCATGCCGATCACAATGCGCATTTAGTAAACTGCAGGTTACAGAAGTGGTAATTTGGTGCTAAGACAACTTTTGGGGATGGCACTTGGGAGGCAGTAAATAGCTCTGTGTCAGTGACTACACCAAATTTTGGTGAGTATTTTTGACCACTAGTTGTATTTTTTGGTGAGTAAAAGCGTTCAGACTCTCGAAGGTAGTTGGCATTAAACAGTACACGTGGCTGTATTTTGGTTTGAAGATCCTGTTTTACCGTTTCTAGCCCTAGAGAAAGTTATAACCACCCGTGCTATGTTAAATTCATTGTACTCTCGATTTATGTCGACAAGATGATATCAACTTCAGATGTGTACATGACAAAGCGCAACTTGCTCGCTGACTTCTGTTGTCACTGTTAGTTTTGGTTAATGGAATGCTACTCTCAGTAGATAGATTAAAGGTGCTAATTGATATGATATAGGCTGTTGTCAGATCAAACCTGGATACTTGATGTTTATGACCGATCAACATGGAGTAATGGAAATGACGTGATTTCATGGTTAATGCCCGTCGGTTTCACTCAGTAATACGTTGGCAAACCACAAAGTCGCGTTTAGTTACCGTATTTCCGCCGCGCTAGCTAACGACTTGAAGTATCTCGGATGAAATTACGCTCTTAGTCGTCCCTAGAATTTAAGTACGGTATATTTTTTGACACCAGTGTGGATAAAGATATGGTGTGATGCATCCACATTTCGTCTGGGTTCCTGCTATATCATTTGAAGTCTCCAACCATCTATTCTTCACTCTCGGGATCCAAAAAAACAGACAAAAACTTACAGTGCCACTTTCTAAAGCATATATACCTTAGCTTACAAAATGCCGTATCAGACTGTAGATCTTCATTGACCTTTCGTCTAACAACAGACAGTCAGTTAGTTGAGGACGTTTACAATTCACTTACTTGGAAGGTCAAATCAACTCCGGTGGGTCGCTCAGTGACCGGCGAAATCTCTGCACGGATACAAAAGACTCGATTACCATGCATTATAACTTGTTACATGTGACGGTGAGATAATCGATTACTTACTAAACTTCGAGTGTCTTGCACAGCGGTTCACTCTATACCACTTTGTAACCTTGAAAAGATTTAATAAAGTGGACGCAAGCAGTTCTGATGTGTTCGATAACCATCGTGGAATCAGTCACTTCAGTAATGCAGAAGTCAGGTGTAAAATCTCATGTATGAACGATGTCAGTTGATTTATTCACACTTTTTCTTCATCTCAATTGACACACTTGGTTTCACTAGTTTTATGTCCTTTGTCACAGCTTTCTTACAGTTTGAGTGCTGTATTTCTTTTTCTCACCTTTTACTTTGATGTGAGATCTAACGAGTTGGACCGTTACGAAATAACACCATGTCACTTTGGTATTTAGTAATTGAGGGAAGAATTCTTGAGCAAAGAGAGTAAGTAGATGGATTATGAAGATTTCCTAAACTTCGGTAACACACCAGCGTTATTTTAACCAACTTTGAGCCGTATCAGCAAGTCTCCAATCACTAATTTGTGTCATCTTCAGGACCTTAACCAAACGTTGTACACGCATTTGTTCGACGGACTGACTACTTCTAACTCTTTCGCACTTCGGATAATATCGCACCTGGACGTAAGTCATAGCTTGATGTCCGCAACACATGTCTAGACCTTTCGGTCTAAAACTTATGACCTCACCTACTTTCAGAAATCGTGTTTCACAGCTGCGCAGTAGAGCAGAGCGAACTTGCAGTATCCTCCTATAGGTAATCGGACATCTTCCTGGTGCCAGAGACAACGTAGTTTTGCAAATACCAATCAGACTTTTTGTAATCTGTGATTTCATCTGCCATCGATGCATTAAGGCTGATACGAATTTCCAAATAGGTAGTCGGTTAATGTAGTTTACCGGTCTACTCTATATCTTGAGATCAGGAGTCATTTATCTGGCGCGAAACGTATGCCGAAAATGCTCTACTGAAGGCTCAGAAAACTGTAGTCAGCGTACTCACTTAACAGGACTGTTATTGTTACGTTCTCCCATTCACCCGGGTACCTTCCCGCAAGTTAATCAACCCACAAGAAGTTACGGGCATGCAAGCTTACAGCCTTAGTACGTCTATGAAAGAATAAAATAAAATTAGTGGCGGTGGACACTTGGCGCACACCACTGGTTGCCGTTACTTCATTTACAACTCTCCGTGATCAATGTTGGGTGTTTGGTAGGTGTACCTGCCTTATAAAACCTATCAAACGGTTAGGTAGCGTTAAGATGTTTAGCTGAGATTTTTCAGTTGTAGCTTTTTAGGGATTTTGCGTCTTTCACATCTATGGAAATCAGGTATCTCAATGCAGCACACTTGTGAGCCGATGATACTACCCAGTCCAAAGTAAGGTGGGATTCAAACTCATAACCCATCTCTCAAGAGTAGTACTTAAACCAGTAAGCCACATTCTCACTCTACCACTGTGGCTCATTGACTTCAGCACTCGATTCTTAGGCAGTAGATTTTCGGCTGTTTCTGCCTGATTTACTTCTACTTTACTAAGCTGATAGTACCGTAAACCCATTCAATGTATGGCTTATAATCCAGTACGCTTTCACTGGTTCATGTCATTATAAATGCTTTAATAGTCTGTAAATGTCACTGGTTTTACGTAAACGCTGATAAAACTTTCAAAAATTCTTTGAAATGATAGGCATCCACTGAATGCAAACGAATACATTTTAACCAAAATGAGTCAATCAGTTGATTTCACTGACCTAATGAGTCTTTCTTGCAGTTCATCAGATCATATACAACCACCTGATGCATAAATCTACCTGATTGCATAGTTGGGTCACCGGTCCCAGTAGACTATGAAATTTCATCACGTAGGTCTTTTTGTGATGCTTACTAAACGTGATGTTTTGAAAACTGCATTGGCGTCATATTTCAGGTCTCTTAAGATATAAAGCTGTAAATAAACATTTCTTGTCTGTAAAGTAGGCTTCAGTTGTACATCAAGAAGTCAAATTTTTGAGGTTATTAAAAACTGCTCTAAGGTGAATTGCATTTGTAACATAAAACATCATAGATTGACAATGTGTATTTTATTATTTATTATTAGTCCCTTGGGTTCCTAGTGGAACATAGGGCTTCAGTAGCACGCCTCCAGTGACCTCTGTTCTCTGAGATCTTTTGAACCTGGTTCCACGACAGCCCAGAAGCTCTCATTTCCTCCTCGCATGACCTCCTCCATGTCACCCTCGGACGTCCAACTCGTCGCTTCCCATGGGGATTCCACTCGAGGGCCTGACGCGTGATGTCCTCAGTCGGCCTTCTCAGTGCATGGCCAATCCATCTCCACTTCCTCCTGCATATTTGTTGCGTGATAGCTTCTTGGTTGGTTCGTTCCCAGAGTTCCTTGTTGCTTATTTTTTCTGGCCATCTGATCTTCAGCAGCGAGCGTAAGCAGTTGTTGATGAATGTCTGTAGTTTATTGGAAATCCCTTTCGTGACGCGCCAAGTCTCTGAGCCATACAAGAGCACTGACTTGACGTTGGTGTTGAAAATCCGTATCTTGTTCCAGATGCTGAGTGCAGAAGATCTCCACACTGGTTTCAGGCTAATGAACGCCTGTCTTGCTTTTCCGATTCTGACTTTGACGTCCTCGTCCGTCCCGCCTGTAGTTGAAACAGTGCTTCCTAGATAAGTGAAGGAGGTTACTTCCTTCAAGTTTCTCCCGTTGACGGTGATTGGAGTTTGTTGTTGTTGTTGTTGATGGTGGTGGTGCGGTATCTTCATCACTTCTGTCTTCTCTATATTCACCTGAAGTCCCGTCTTGGCTGCCTCTTCTGTCAACTTGTTAGTTTTTGCCTGCAGATCTTCAAGTTTATGTGACATTAGGCATAAGTCATCGGCGAAATCCAAGTCTTCTAGGTTCTTTTCCGTCGTCCAGTGTATCCCCCTCTTCTCGCTGCCTACTGTTTGCTGCATGATCCAGTCCACCACAATAAGGAATATCATGGGGGATAGTAGGCAACCTTGTTTCACTCCTGTCTTCACTTCAAAGGCATCACTGAGCTTCCCATTGTGGATTACTTGGCATGTGGCATCTTCATATAGTTGTTGAATGAGGCGGATAAAGGTTTGCGGTACTCCGTAGTATTGAAGCAGTTTCCAAATTACTTCTCGGTCGACGCTGTCAAAGGCCTTCTCAAAGTCGATGAAGTTGAGGTATAGAGCTGATTGCCATTCTACGCTCTGTTCTATGATGATACGAAGTGTTGCAATTTGGTCAGCACATGATTTGTACTTCCTGAAGCCTGCCTGTTCCGGTCGCAGTTTTGAATCCAGTGCGTCTTTAAGCCTCTCCAGGATGATGCGGCTTAATATTTTACTTGGGGTGGACAGGAGAGTGATTCCGCGCCAGTTCTTGCAAGCACTGAGGTCTCCCTTCTTCGGCAGTTTGACAAGGTAACCCTTCTTCCAATCGTCCGGTACCTTCTCTTCCTTCCACACCTTCTGCAATAGTGGTGTGAGCATGTCCGCTGTTGTCTCTGCATCTGTTCTCAGTGCTTCTGGCGGTATTCCATCTGGTCCTGCTGCTTTCCCGCATTTCAGTAGCTTTATGGCGTTCAGGACTTCCATTTTCGTTGGGGGATTTATGTTCACTTGTAATTCAGCGGCTGCAGGTGGTATTTCTGGACGAAGTGCAGGTGGTGGTCGATTCAAGAGCTTCTTGAAGTGGTCGGCCCATCGTTTCCTCTGTTTCTCTTCTTTTGTAATTAAATTTCCTTCTTCATCTTTTATTGGTTTCATCTGTGTTGGTCTCTTCCCTGATAGCAACCTGGTTATTTGATACAATGTCGTCAGGTCTCTCTTACCTGCAGCCTGTTCTGCTTCACTTGCCAGTGTTTCGTAGAAGTGTCTTTTGTCTTTGCGTGCACTCTTCTTCACTTCTTTGTCCAGTGTTTTATACATTGTGCTCAGTTCCTCTTGTCGTTGAGCATCCTTGCACTGGTTTATCTTCTGCTTCACCATCCTCCTCTCCTCTATCAGCTTCCAGGTATCCGTCGAGATCCATTCCTTGTCTTCTTTCTTCTTCCTTCCTAATACTGTTGTGCAGGTTTCTTTCCACATAGCTTTCAAAGACTTCCAGTGTTCTTCCACACAGGTTTCTTCAGGGATGTCCCTCGATGTCTCCCATTTTGTCTTGATGGCTGCCTTGAAGATCTCCTTTGTAGTTTCATCCTTCAGTTTCCGAGTGTTGTACTTGAATTGAGGTCTATCACCAGCTTCCTTGAAGGCTTTTAACTTGATTTGGAAGGTTCCTTGCACTAGATAGTGGTCTGAACCTACATCTGCTCCTCTTCTTGACCTTGTGTTAAGTAGACTGCGTCTCCATTTTCTTGAGATTGAGATAAAGTCGATTTGATTTTTAGTGTGTCCATCTGGTGAAGTCCATGTCGCTTTGTGGATATCCTTGTGCCTGAACACACTGCCTCCAATCACCAAATCGTTGAATGCACAGAATTCTGCAAACAATTCTCCATTCTCATTCATTTCACCTAGCGCCTCTCGACCCATGGTTAGTTCTCTTCCTGTGTTGTCACCTCCCAGTTTGGCATTCATGTCGCCCATTAGAATTTTGATATCGCCAACTGACGTCTTGTCCAGTGTTGATTGAAGTTGTCTGTAGAATTCCTCCTTTTTCTCTTGCTCTGCATTATTTGTAGGTGCATAACATTGTATGATTGTGACCTTTCTTCCTTTTGAGTTGAATCTTGCTGTCATGATCCTGGAGGAGATTGGTTCCCACTGCATGAGAGCCTTCGATGCTCTTGAGGACATCATGATAGCCACTCCCTCAGTGTGCTCGTGGTTGGCGTCTGGGTGACCGGAGTAGATTATTGATTCTCCAGTTGACAGTTTGGAGAGTCCACTCCCATTCCATCTGCTTTCGCAAATTCCAAGCACTTCGATGTTATACCTTCTCATCTCCTTTGCAATCTGGGCTGCCTTACTGGGTTCAAACATCGTACGGACATTCCATGTCCCCACGTTTACTTTCGCTTTCATCGAGAGAAGACACATCGGCCAATTGGCTTCCCGAAGGCTTTCACCAACTGGCGTCATTTCGCCTCTCCGATTCCAGCGGGGAATAAGTTTGTTTTCATTTTTTATATTTTGTTTGTGCTTTGAAGTTTCTTTAGCGGTTAGATTTGTTTTACGGGGTAGGGTTGCTAGCCCTATGCCCAACCTTCCCTCTTTACCCGGGCTTAGGACCGGCTAGTAACTAGTAAACTAGTTAACCAGGCGAGGTTTTGACAATGTGTGATCCTACTTTATACCATTCAATATAAATCCCGATCGTCCTTAAAAATTATTCACACCTTTTGGTATTGGGGATCGTTTTATTTCTTTCAGTCTGATGCATCACCCTTTTGATCGTTTAGTTTTTGTTTTTGCCCACCTTGAATTGATCTACATCCTTTATGCTACTCTAGACTCTATTATGCTTAAAATGAGTTACAAGAGTGGTTGACTTTAAATGAGTAGTTGTGACTCATGTAGCGATATTAGTTATCACTCCTGAATTTACTCAATGTTAATTGTTGGAAATAGCATACTTATTCGTCCACTGTGATTGCTACTTGCGTGCAACTGCGTATTACTTTATTTAAGAAAACCCAATGAACTATTTTGTTCATATACATTGTCCTCACCAAAACTTAGTTTAACATTTGTTGATTCACAGTTCTGGCTGCTTGTTCAATCGCCAATATTGTGAGAACAAGCCTTGGTCCTGTTGGTCTTGATAAAATGCTGGTCGATGACGTCGGAGATGTGACAATTACTAATGATGGGGCTACAATTTTAAAATTACTTGATGTTGAACATCCTGCAGGAAAGATTCTTGTTCAACTCGCACAGTTACAAGATGAAGAAGTTGGAGATGGAACGACTTCCGTTGTCATTCTGGCAGCTGCATTGCTTAAGAACGCTGATGAATTAATTTCTCGATATGTTCACCCAACAATTGTAATTAATGGTTATCGGCTGGCATGTCGAGAAGCTTGCAAATACATACAAGAACATATGGTGTTTGATGTAAATAAACTGGGGAAACCGGAGTTGATCAATGCTGCACGAACTGCTATGTCAAGCAAACTTATCAATCTGTAAGTTGCTTACATTTTGAGTTTTAATTAATTTACTAGGGATGCAGATATGTTTTCACAAATGGCTGTGGACGCCGTTATGGCTGTTGAAGTATCTGGGGGCTCAAAAGGTCCTATTTATCCCATAAAGGCAATCAATATTTTGAAAGCACATGGTCGATCAATGTCGGAGAGCATGTTAATTGATGGTTATGCTCTAAACTGCACTGTGGCTAGCCAACAAATGCCACGCATTGTAAGAAAGGCGAAAATTGCCTTTTTGGATTTCAGTTTGCAGAAAATTAAAATGAAACTTGGAGTACAAGTATGTTTTATGTGTAAATCTTTTTACTTGATAAAATGTCAAGCGTTCAGCGGAAAACTATACCCATAACACGTCTTACGAATAGTTTTAGTGACTGTCTTCGTTGTCTTAAAGTTTAGTGAGAATTCCGTGGAAAGAGTGCCTTTGAAAGTCACCTCGGTAAATGAGAATTTTCTACGTTGTGGTTCACCTATGAACATTCTTAGAATGTTATTTCATGTCCAGTTACGCAAAACTATTCTCAAAGTTACATCAAAGTAGAATATATACTATTTTCGCACATTCATCGTAAGGACTGCAACCAAGAAGCCCATACTTAACATAACTCCGCAACACAACAGTCAGAAGTTTATCTACCTGATACTCTGCGTTTAACTTCACTGACTGGGATAATTAAGTTAAAACAGTCTCCATGTGTATTGTGGATACCGCAGCTATTTAGTGCGTCACAATAGTATGTATATAATGTGCTCACATACCAGTGCCAATCTCAGGAATACATCGTAACTACTCTAAATAATATGTAACATCAGAGAAGCAGTATTTCCTCATGCTCAGGTTGCTATACTTCCTATGCTAGTAGTTTATTTTGGTTTGGTTCTAAACCAGCACTAAGGAAGTCTAAACATCTCTTATCAGTTGTCTTTTAAGTGAATTCTGACCTCGTGCGAAGACTTGTAAAGTAGTTTGGCTAGAGATGATGAGGTGTTACTTGGTTGTGATTCTGCCAAATTCCTCACACTAGTTGTCTGGTCGTTAAAGTTGTTACTCATTGAATTTGTTCACCTGTACGTTTGAGCGGTTTAAGCTCCTTCATGTTTATTCAGTTTCATACTTTTCGATAATAGGCTTTGTTTGTCAAGTGATGCTTATTTTATCTACTGGATGTTTTCAAATAGTAGGTTTTCTGCCGTAGCGTTAATTATTTATGTGTTTGTTTTTAAAATATCATTAATGTGATAGATTGTTGTGAAGGATCCTAGCCAACTTGAAGCACTTCGTCAGCGTGAAGCCGATATCACCAAAGAGCGTATACAAAAAATTCTTAGTGCTGGCGCCAATGTTATCTTAACCACTGGTGGCATCGATGATCTTTGCATGAAATATTTTGTTGAAGCTAACGCTATGGCTGTTCGAAGATGCAAAAAGGTCGACTTGAAAAATATGGCGAAAGCAACTGGAGGTCAGCTAATTGTCAGTTTGGCAGATATGGAAGGTGACGAAGTTTTTGATCCAACAAAACTGGGAACTGTAATTAATTACTTTATTTCAGTTCGGTAATTGAAATTTTGCATTTTAGGCCGAAGAAGTAGCTCAGGAACGAATATGTGATGATGATTAATTATTCTCAGAGGTCCTAAAGTTCACCCATCTGCAAGTATAATTTTACGAGGTGCTAACGACTTTTATGTGGATGAAATGGAACGGTCTTTGCACGATGCACTACTGGTTAGTCCCTACATTTCCTCTGAATATTTTCCATTTTTATTTCATGTTGTAATCTGAGCAATTCATAAGATTTAACTCACGTTCCAACCTTAACTCGTAGTTTCCAGCCAATCGCTTGTTATTTCTATCATACGCCTGAACGTGTCAAAAGATTGTTGATCTAAATCTCACTACGCTGCACTTATTGGCAATCTAGTTGTATTTTAACTATCGTCAGTTAATTTTCCTCCACATCAATGCGGTACAACTTATACTGATGTATATTCGCAGTTCACTATTTAAAAGTATAATTGATTGTCATCATCCATTGGCTTTACATAATTGTTATTGGATGAAACTGCAAAGTAACTGGATCGTTTTCAAGATTTCTACCTGGGGGTTTACTTTTGTGATGATAAATTTTTTCCCCACATGGTTTGACTTTTATCTGATTATGCCACTTTCACTGTATCCCATTTATGTCGGATTCTCAGTTTGAGTATTGTGTTAGTCTAAATAATACAATACCCTGACTGCAACAAATGATAGCTTTACACGCATTGTATTAACTCACGTTTCATAAAGCAATCTTGGTAAATTTTGATTTCACTATTAGGTGGTAAAACGGGTTTTGGAAAGCAAACGGATTGTACCCGGTGCCGGAGCTTGTGAAGTTGCTATCTCAATCTACCTTGAAAATTATGCTGTCACTTTAAGCTCACGTGAACAGCTTGCTATAGCTGAATTTGCTCGAGCCATGTTGTCCATTCCAAAACAGTTGGCAGTTAATGCTGGTCTTGATTCAACTGAACTTCTTGCTCGTATGCGATCATGTCATCATTTAAGTCAGACAAAAGCTGACCAAGCTCACTACAAGTGGTAAGTTGGTTCGTATGTTTTGGTGGTGAATATTAATTAACAGTTTCTGGACTACTTACTTCGTTACATAAAATATCGTCATATGTAGTTTGAGAAAAATGGTGCTATTTTTAATCATCGATCAAACTGATGTGTGTATATTTTAAAAACATCGGGATTTAAAAAAACTCAATAAAATAAAATAGTTACTGATATTCAAAGATGCGATCAAAATAAATTATGATCTAGCCTGCAAATAACGAAAGAGAATAACATAAAGATGGCTAGGTGGCTAATAGATTCTCACAGTTTTATTGAGTCTAACAAACGATCTCAAATCCACATTCATATTCGTGTCAACAGGCATTATAATTATTTTCAAGCGTTGTGTTTGCCTAAAAAGTCATGCTATCCTCCTTGAAAGTGATGATCTTATTAGTTAAGTTGACAGCTAAAAATATATTATAAGAGTAAATTCAAGTTGCGATACACATTTTTAAGTCATTGATGTTCTGTAACAATTGTCATTTGTTTTGCGTAATTTGATTATACAGTTATGAGAGACGGTTTTGATGGTTCGAAATGCCTGTTTGCTGTTTAAATCACTCTCACTTGACTAGCGAAATTTATAGATCAATGTGAGTGTTTCATTCACTGTTGTTCAATTGTATATTTGAGTTCTCTGTGTTATACTCCTGCTAATTAGTGTTTATGGGTCGTCGACACAATCACTTCTGAAGTAGCGGGTTCCAGATCCAAACTTTACTTCTCGAGTAGTATCATAACTATGGCTTATAGCTTCGTGTACGGGCAAGCGTACCGGGATGAAGTTCATCACCGGCTAGTTTTCCAAACAATTCTTATGCAGGTTTAAAGTTAGTGAAACATCGCCATCTTTTGACGCTGCCGAAATTATTTCAAAGCTAAATATTGGCTGCAAGTGTGATCATTGATTCCAAAATGAGCCTGATACATATTTTTTTCCATTCTCGTGATCTAGAATTCCTTGTGTCAAGAGTCAGATAGTTTACACTGATTCGGTTGACGTTTTTTTAGGCTTTATATACTAACCTTGTTGGGTATATAAATTAACTTGTTAAAGATGGGTTCCATCAACCACCCATAGTGTCGGCTAAATTTCTGAAACAGTGGGCATTTGATGAATTTGAGAACACAAGCTTGTTGCAAGATAGATATCAAGAGATACGTCATACAAAATAATAAAGAAGCATTATAATAACACAAGAAAGGAAAGAGAGACAGACATAGACAACATCAACGTAGAACCTTGCACACAAGTGAAATGGTTCCAGTTGCCACACTTCACAGTGGTATAGAAAGAACAAGTGAATAGAAAGGATCGACATGAAAATAGCAAAGGTCTATGAAAGGAAAGGGAATTTAAAAATGAAGGTTGGCTCAACATTCAAACTTTAGAAGAGTCAATAAATCTACATCATTGTGACCAATTCTCAGCCATTTCCCCATAAATTCTCAACCACTGATTCCTGTCATCTCAGGGACTGCAGCCAGGTAATTTACACATCCCTCACACTGCTCAGACCAGCAGTCAGTGATTTCAGGCATTGATTCCACGTTTTAGTTTGACCATCCTGAACTTTGTTCTAACCTAATCTAACTTCAGTCGAAATTGCATGTCGAGGTAGGTGATGACTTGGCATACTCAGTACATGTCGACCAAGCCACGTCAGTTGGTGAGGGTTTACAACCTCATAGAAGAGAAAATAAAAACAAAAATAGATAAGTTGTTTAAGAAACAATCTCAAAGACACCCGTAACAGCATTCACCACTTTCGTTTCACTGAAGCGTGGTCATCACTGGTTTTTATCCTGAATCATGTCTGTTATTGTTCAGAATAGTGGTAGCAGATATTGTACTGAAGGACAGCTTTCTGTAAGCAGACCGTTCAGCGACTCGAAAGGTTGCAGGTAGTCTTGAATTTTAGTCAGTTTCAAGCAACTAAGTGAAACAGGGATACATATTGAGATAAACTTAAAAGTGATAACGAATAGACAGCATAGTTTATAAGTATATATCACGAAAATATAAGGACAAATCAAACGATTGGGAAAACAGTTTGTTACGCCGTAAATTTTGATTAATGCAAAAAGACTCGATGAGTCTATATTGTCAGTGTTGATTTGTAAATTGAATGTGGGCTGAGTTATTACTTAAACCCATAAACTGCTCCCCAAGACTCTGGTTTGAAACCTAGTCCGCAAAACTCTAGAGACGTACTGCATTCCCATGGTTGCCGGTGACTAATAATGATGTTAGTAATGATAATAATAGTAATGTATTTTCTTCATTCCAAACCATAGTTTCGTTTACAGTTCAGAACTCTTAGCATGTACAACATTTTTGCAATGTATTAACGGTGATAATGGTTTACACCTCATAAATAATGATAGCATTGTTGAAATACTATAATGATTGCAGAGTTATGACTCACTGGTTTAGGGAGTTGACTTTCAACTAGTCGGTCAAGGGTTTGAACACCGCTACACCTAGTGAGGTCTGGACAACCAGGTAATATCATTAGCTCTCACACAATAGCTGTTGCTCATTGCCTACCACGAATGTGCACAAAATTACTGATTGGATTTCGGTCGGCAGAGTTATAATAACTGTTTGCCTTTACAAAGTTGGTTGATAAGATTGTTGCTTACATGCTTTTCTTAGCATAGTATACAAGCTAAATAAGGTTTAGTTAACTTTTTTGTATTTAGCTGTTCGTGCACGAAGTTTGGTCTATTTGCTTCTTGTTTTTCCTGAGGACAGACTAGAAGAGTGCGAATGAAGAAGATGCTTGTCATCGGATAAAATGTTTGCAGCCACTTGCTTACAGGAGTTAAAATACCTTTCCACAACCTTCTTTGCCACCAGTTCATTCAATGGTGGATCATCCGCTCTACTGACAGCCTTCAAAATCTTAGTTTTCTCTCCGATGTCCCGGGAAGAAGGGGAAACAATAAGTAAGAATAGACGAAACACAAGAATTAACAGAAAGTGAGAATAGAGGTTATGTCAAACAGTCGCAGTTACTCTGCATATAAAAGTCAGGCGAAGGATTCTCAAAATCAGTGGATTTTAGGGGGGCCAAGAAAGATTAAAAGAAAAGCATAAGCCTAGATGGATCACACTTTATAAATTCTCTACTGCAGAGTTATAGGATTGAAGCAGTTCACAAATATCTTGTTCACATCTTTATCTGAAATTAATCACTTGACATTCAGAGGGATCGAGTGTAAGGCCAATCAAGGAAGACCAGTGACCCATTTCGGTTCAGATGTTGTTAAACTTGGAGCAGTTTGAAGAAGAGACGACTGGCGTGGATACCATTAGGTCACCCGCATACTTAACAAAATTAGATTTAGTTGAGGTAGGTAAGTCATGCAAAACAAAAGAAGAATGAACAGCTCCTTGGGATACACTATCTTTACCAAGTAGCGACCTTAGAGCACTTCCCTCTACATAAAGTGTTGTGCTTCCTCTCAGAAAAATAAGAATTAAGCCAGTTTGCAATCCAGAACTTAATATGAGTTCTTCAAGCCTGTCTCATAGAAGCGGTTTAGGGACTAAGGCAGCTTTCATACGCCATCCTTCCGTTTTGCGTGATGAGGCCCATGTACACTACTTATTGAATTCAAGGTTTCCTAACTTTTCTAGGGGTATGCTCTGTGTACGCCTATCTGGTCATAGCGCCGAAAGTTCGCTTTTGTCCTCTCACTTTTGTATAAACACCTTACCATGTAGGAGAAATGTTGTAGAACTTCTGTGGCAGAAGCAATGGACGCAGGCCACAAAAAAACTTTTCTACGGAATGACTTAGTTCATCCCTCCACCATGTTAAGACGTTTGAGGAGCAGATTTTTCGATGAAATCTCTTGCATTTTTGTTAAGTGGTTTCTTGATATCCGCTGCAAAGTTTTAAGTACTCTTTATATGATATAAACAGCTTTTTAAAAGTTCTGAGTCACGATATATTACGCTGAAAGTTTCATACTCAACTTTGATCTCTTTCATGAATGATACTTGGACGGCATAACTCTATTTAGTATTCATGGTTTTCGTAGCTCAAGTATTAAGCTGAGATATTATTTTATACGGTTGTCAATCTTCAGTAACTGAGGTAGGTGGTTGATATATGCACTACTTACACTGGGCTACCATTTAATTTGACTCAATCACGTTTAAAATGAAAAAGATAAGTGGCACCAAAGTAAGATATGATACCAATTTACTCAATGTTCGGCTTGGTTCCAGTTATGAAGGTTACCCGGGTGTAGTCCGCAAGATGTTGAGAATTATACTTTAGAAACGGTGGTGGCTAAATTGTATTTACTGTTTATCTCTGGGATAGAGCGTTGTATTGACTTTTGGTATTTATTGTTCGTTCTTTCATTTAGATTGTACTATTTTCTACAATGATCTGTTAGTTTGGAAAATATTTTAGTTGACTTGATAAGCAAATTATAATCTTGACGAAATTTCTACATGTTTTTTATGATTGACTTTGTCAGCTGAGTTTACATTGCTACTGTATCGTACCCTAAGCGGCACAAGAGGTTGAAGACTAAACTGAGATGGACTAACTCAGGTCGATGTTTTCATCAACGTTTTGATATTTGCTGGTCAGATTCTTTCTGTGTCAGGATTTTATGTTTTCTTAAAAAAGGATTTCACCATCTCCCCTTTGTCTCTGTTCTTTTTTGATCGATAGTACAACGAATACATGATTTCTTGGATTACACATTTATTTGTACTCTTTTGAGACTAAATCATCTACTTCTGTATCTACATTGATATTTGTTCTCATTTTTATAGGTGGGGACTTGACTTAAATAATCAACGTGTAGCTGATTGCAAAGCATTGGGTGTATTCGAACCGCTTGTTTCCAAAATTAAAAGTTTAAAGTTTGCTACGGAAGCTGCCATCACAATTTTACGAATTGATGATCTAATCAAATTAAAAGAAGAAAGGCAGCCTGATCATGATGGTGATGAGTGTTATTAGTTGCATCTGAGAATGTTTGTTGAAGGGAATATGCATATTATAATTTGAAGTCTAAACTGTTGTTTTTGAACTAGTTAACTATCTTTAACTGTTGTTTCATAGGCAATGAGTAGTGGTTTGATTGGCTACAGATCCATAGTTGATTATCCTAGTGTATGAAAAAGGATATGGTCTTTTTGTAACTGTCAAATTTACAAGTCCAGTTTTCTAAATATTGAAACCGATTGTTATTGTTAAAGTTCCAGTTGATGTTCAAATGTAGGGGAAAGTTGAGGACTTTACATCATGAAGTAAAAGCAACATCAACGTAGCCACGTGATTAATCATACTTGATGTCATTGACATTTTGGTCGCATTAGTGTGAGTAGACCTAAGTATGGAGGTGAATACCATCTGGAACGTTTGATGATAACTATTATCATTACATATCATTACATAACTTAATATTGGTTAGGAATATCTGAGAAGGAAATTTTTCAGGACGACATTTTTGTAGGAGTAAAACTTGGGCACTGGTAGATTGTAATTCCATTTAAGTCTGTTTATTAGAAATGTCACACAGTGAAACAGTATCAGCTACTAGGTAACGTTTCAGACATAATTTATTGTCCATAGTCGTATCAGAGTTTATATATTCCTAGTTTTCTCTCCTGTGTGATGACAAGGGCAGTAGATTAGTAGATCCTAATAAGATAGGAAATTTAGAAAAAGCTTGACTGTAGCTGTGCACGCAATTACAGAATAGGGTGGGATAGAGCAACAGCATTAAAAACTTAGTTGGATGGAGTGAGGGAGAGATTGATAACCGAAACTTTGTTTACCGAATCAACACCAAATATATGCAGCAATAGAAATGATTCTGTACCTGTCCCATATATATGCGAATTTCTACTACCCTTGTCATCAAAACGAAGGAGAAAAAATTAGGACCGTGCAAACTCCGTCTCAAAGTTGCTGTGATATGACCATAGACAAATTGTGTCCGAAGCGTTGTTATCCAGTAAATGATACTTCTTCACTGTGACATTTCTAATAAACAAACTAAAAAGGATGAATCCTATAATTCTGTTCATGATTTCGTTCACATTGGTTTTTGTGAATATGTGATGAGTGACAGTTCCTGTTAACGCGCTAGTTTTTAAAAGTAAACACATCTCAACATGTTCGTGTATTAAATTACGGACCATACCAATTGCCAGTAAGACGGGGGTCTGGGGGAGTTTGAATACTGGTAGAGTTGTATGGGGAGTTGACATTTCTGAGCTGCTCACACTGTGAAACGTCATTCCTTCTTAAGATACCTGAAAAGAAAAGCTAGTACGTGGTCCCAGAGTCAAGGGACATCTTGAGGCCAGTTACCGCCTTTTTAGAAGTATGAAATAACTGTTAGTTTTGAAGGTGACTATGAACCCTTATTGGCGACACTGATATGTCATGGGACAGAGAGGAGTGTGCTGTTTTTAGGGTCTACCTTCTCTAACCCATCTTCCCATAGAAAAAATAGTGTCAACATGGCACTGTTTGTCACTCTGCCGCTGTCAAACCCCATCCAGCCAACAGTATAACTTCGGATCCCCATCTAAGTGTAGCTGACGGTAGATACCTTTTGTTTAACCACTGTCCAACAAACCTTTCTGGTACGTTAGACCTCAAAAGAATAGACGTTTCACCGACATAGCTCGTTGATTTGTTGTAATATCCAACCCCCACCACTACATCAAGGTAGCAACCGTCGGTCTGGTAACTCAATGGCTTGTGTACTGGCATGAATTCTATCAAGCACATTCCACATCTTGTATTCTTCATTTTGTTAAGGTGTCTTCCAAGTATATCCTGGTTATTATTATTTAAAATTAAACTCGGTACAAAATGTGTACTAAGAAATATGCAACGCAGCACTATAAAATCTCTGCATCTCCGTTACTTTTCATAATTATAGAAAATTACCACTGTTTTCGATGGTGACAGAGTATCGGCTCGCATGATTTTGGCCTCCACCTAGAGGTCTTGAGTCATCAACAGATACTAGCTCAACACAATATCACTCATCCCACGATGCTGTTACGCACTTACCGCCTCTTTGCTTCAAATAAGTTTCAGGACTGGTAAACCTTGGAGAGTATGGGGGAAGTGACATAATAAGTTTGAAGTAGCAACGGCGTCAGGATGGTATAAATTAACATATACCTATGTACTCTCCCATATGCGGTTGGGAATCTCATCTTTCCAGTCACCAATACAACCCGGAGACGAGAGGAACTAGTGACTAAGGTCTCCTGCTGACTGGCTGAAAGTCGGTCACAATGGCACAGATGTATTCACATTCTCTGAAGCTTGAATATTTACACTAACCTTTATCCTCAGATTGTTTATTCGCTCAAACTACTTCACCTACTTCGATACCACTCTTCTTCTATTCATCTGTTCTTTGCGTACTACTGTGAAGTGTGGCAATTTGCGCCGATGCACTTGTGTGCGATGTTCTACGTTGATTCTATCAGTCAGTCAGTCAGTCAACCACAAGAAAAACCTAACCACTTCATCACTAAAGATGACTGTGGATGTAGGTTCGCAGTATTTTTGCAAAAGTATTTTGTATGCCGATTACTTGAAGCAACCATACTCACCGATATTAATTTCCAACTGGTGAAGTACGATTTGACCAACCTATATATTACTGCAAAATAAGATAGTATCATCCACATACTCAAGGTTTGAGAAATCTTTCTTCAGCTGATAGACCTATACCAATAGTAATTACCTTCAGACGTGTCTGGAAAAGGTGACTGGTGTCAAAGTTAAGTAGGGATTGTGAAACTAACCACTCATCTTCAACCCCACCGGATTCAAACCATGAAGAGGGGTGACTGTATAGCTTCACTCTACCTTAGGTTTCTCTGTATAGTTAAGTGTCACACTGAAGAACAGCTTTGTGGGGAGTTGTAAAGATAAATCGGTCGGCATATGAACATAACAACAATGATATAGACATGCGATAACACAATTTGACATGTTAGTTCAATTGGTAACTGGCGAGTCAGGCAAATGTTTTGAAGTTTTTATTGTAGTCTTATCGCATGGTATGTGTGAAGGCTAAAGTAATATATTGGTGCCTATAGTAAAGTAGGCGGTTGCCTTGAGGTATCACCTCCTACCCATATTTCAACTCTAGTGCGCAGTGTTGCGGTGAAATAAAGTGTTATAGTTCGAATTATTACACCATTGTTAGCTGCCTTATACATACTTTAAGAATTATGTAGTAAGAGCTATCTTTAATTATGATGCGAACAAAATATTGTTGATCAGTGGTAGTCAAGCCTGACGCGGATGTTTCTGTAACTACAGTGATAAGGGTTGTATTGCCTTGTTCATATTTTGATAAGATGCTCTACAAGTGTGTCTTGATAATTTATCGTCAATATAATTTTTTCGCTGAAGTTCATATGAATATATAGGAGTCAGTGGTGTAATGTTTCTCATGTTTGTGCAGAAAGTTGCATTGTAGGGGGATTTATTAAATAAAAAGAGGACTGTTATCTATTTTAAAAACTTCATATTCGTTTAAGCCAATTGCTGCATGTCATTTTCTAGATTCAGTTTCAAAACGAAGGGAATTATTTGGTTCGAAGGTATCCTAATGGAATACCGATCAGGAGCAGTCAGCTAAAAAAACTGATGATGAACTTGAAGCTTTCCGAGTAAAGCTGTGAATACTGTCGAGAATTTGCGTCTAAAGAATTGACCATGAATGTCGGATTGGTAGGTACTTCAAAGTTACATGTTGGCCCTTTCTATTCTTCTAGCTGCGGTCTAGTTCTACCTAAATGACACCTAATTTGATAATGCGTAAAGTGTTTCATACCATCTACACTCACCTCTATATGTATTTGTCACTTTGATGCCCTTGTAAGTACGTCACACGGAAATGTATTATGGAGATTCTGTGGTCTGTGCTTCCTAGAGGGTAATTGTAAAATAACCGAGTTACTACCAAACCAACCTCACCTAGTTCACTAGTTACTAACCGGTCCTAAGCCCGGATAAAGATGGAAGGTTAGGCGCAGGGCTAGCAACCCTACCTTATCAAAGCAATCCAATCGATAAAGAAACTTCAAAGCACAAAAACAAACAAACTTATTCCTCGCTGGAATCGGGGAGGCGAAATGACGCCAGTTGGTGAAAGCCTTAGGGAAGCCAATTGGCCGATGTGTCTTCTGTTGATGAAAGCAGAAGTAAGCATGGGGACATGGAATGTCCGCACCATGTATGAAACTAGCTGGCAAGGCTGCCAACATTGCCAAAGAAATGAGAAGATATGGCATAGAAGTGCTAGCAATATGAGAAAGCAGATGGAATGGAAGTGGACTCTTCAAATTGTCAACTGGAGAGTCAATAATCTACTCCGATATTGTCACCTAGATGACAACCACGAGCACATTGAGTTTTGAAGTGGCTATCATCATGTCCCCAACAGCATCGAAGGGTCTCATGTAGTGGGAGCCAATATCCTCCTGTAGGGTCATGACAGCAAGATGGATTCAACTCAAAAGGGAGGAAAGTCTTAATCATACAATGCTACGCTATGCACCTACAAATAATGCAGATGAAGAAAAAAAGGAGGCAACTGCAATCAGCAATGGACAAGACCTCATCCCAGTTGGCAACATCAAAGTTCTAATGGGTGGAGTGACGTGAATGCAAAACTGGGAGCGAACAACACAGGTAGAGAACCAATCATTGGTTGAAGGGCACTCGGTGAATGAGAATGAAGAACTGTTTGCAGATTTCTTCGCATCCAACGATTTGGTGATTGGAGGCAGTGTGTACAAACACAAAGATATTCACAAAGTGACACGGATTTCACCAGACACATTAAAAATCAGATCGACTTCATCTGAATCTCAAGAAAGCGGAGACGCAGCCTACTGGACACAAGATGAAGAAGAGGAGCAGATGTAGGTTCACAACACTTACTATCTAGTGCAAGCAACCTACCATGAAAACCAAGTTGAAAGCCTTCAAAGAAGCTGGTGATAGACCACAGTTCAAGTTCAAAACCCAGAACACAAACTGAGGGACGAATCTTCAAAGGACATCTTCACGTCAGTCAGCCATCAGGACAAAATGTGAGATATTAAGTAACATCCCTGGAGGATCAGGCTTGGAAGAACACTGGAAGTTTTGAAAGAGATGTGGAAAGAAACCTGCATAACGGTGTTAGGAAGAAAGAAAAAACATGACAAGGAATGGATCTCGACGGACACATGGGAACCGATAGAGCGGGGAGAGGAAGATAGTAAAGCAGAAGATGGACCAGTGCGGTGCAAGGATGAACAACTAAAAGAGGAACTGAACACAATCTATAAACCACTACACTGGACAAAGAAATGAAGAAGAGTGCGCGTAAAGACAAAAGATACTTACACGGCTCACTGTCAAGTGAAGCAGAACAGGCTGCAGGTAGAAGAGACAGAAACCTGACAACACTGTATCAAATAACCAGGTTACTATCTGAGAGTGAAGAGATCAACACAGATAAAACCAATGGAAGATAGTGAAGGGAACTTACTTACAACCAAAGAGGAGAAACAAAGGAAGTGATGAGCTGACCACTTCGAAAAGCTCTTGAGTCAACCACCACCAGCTGCAACTCGTCCAGAAATACAACCTGCAGCCCAGCCACAGAATTACCAGTGAACACAGGCCCCCTGACAAAAGCAGAAGTGAAATCCTGAACGCCATAAAGTTACTGAAAACCGGGAAAGCAGCAGGACCAGATGGAATTCTTCCGGAAGCACTGAAAACGTACGCAGAGACAACGGCGGACATATTTACAGCGTTACTGCAGAAGGTTTGGAAGAAAGGAAGGTAAGGTACTCGTCGATTGATTGGAAGAAGGGGTACCTTGTTAAACTCCCAAAGAGGGGTGACCTGAGTCTGTACAAGAACTGGCGAGGAATCATGCTGCTGTGCATCTCAAGCAAAATATTATGCCGCATCATCCTGGAGAGATTAAAAGATGCGCTGGACTCAAAATTACGACCAGAACAGGCTGGCTAGCTTCAGGAAGAACAAATCATGTGCGGATCAAATTGCAACACTACGCTACGCGTCATCGTAGAATAGAGCATAAAATGGCCGTCAACTCTCTACCTCAACTTCATCGACTTTGAAAAGGCCTTCGACAGCGTCTACCGAGAAGTAATTCGGCAGGTAGCTGCTTCGACACTACGGTTTTAGTGCCACAAACCTTTATCAATCTCATTCAACAACTACACGCTAAATGTTGCCACATGCCAAGTGATTGACAATGGAAATCTCAGTGACACTTTTCAAGTGATGACGGGACAGGAGTAAGACAAGGCTGCCACCTACTACCACCGATGATCGTCCCGATTGTGGTCGACTGGACTGAACTGTATCATGCAAGAAACTGTGAGGAGCGAGAAGGTGAGCATACGCTGTTTGACCGATGAAAGACCCTAGAAGATTTGGATTTCCCCCATTATGATTTGTGTTTAATGTCGCATGAACTCGAAGATCTATGAGCAAAAGCCAACAAGCTAGCAGAAGAGGCGAGGTAGCGAAGGAAGACGGGACTTACTTCAGGTGAACATTAGAGAGGACAGAGGTGATGAAGATACCCATTCAGAAACAACGACAACAAGCACCAATCACCATGAACGGGAGAAACCTAAAGAAGGTAGTCTCTTTCACCTACCTAGGTAGCATCGTTTCAACTACAGGTGGTGGCATAGATGAAGACGTCAAGGCCAGGATCGGAAAAGCAAAACAAACCTTCCTTAATCTGAAATGATCAATGTTTAGATCTAATGCGCTGCACTGCACTCAAGATGAAGCGTGAACAACATCCGGATTTTCAACACTAACATCAGTCAAGTAAGCTAGTGCTTCTATATGATGGATGAGAGACTTGGTGCGTTACGAAAGACATTTCCAACGAACTACAGACATGTATCACATCAACAGCTGCTGCGTACGCTCACTCTATATTGAAGACCAGATAGATGACTAGAAAGAATAAGCAAGGAGGAACTGTGGCTTGCAATGAACCAATTAAAAACCCACCACCCAGTAAATATGCAGACGAAAGCGGAGATGGATTGGATCGGACTTGACATGCACTGAGAAGGAAGATCGACTGGGGACGTCGCGCGCCAGGTCAGGTCGTCTAGTGAAAGCCAAATGGGAAACAACGAGTTGGGTGTCCCAGCCGAGGGTGACATGAAGTAGATGGTGTGAGGAAGAAGTGAAAGCTTCTGGGCAGCTGTGGAGCAGTGGAGTTATTCAAATCTTGTGAACTGCTACAGTGATAAGATGATACGCTTGGGAGTAGTGTATATATCATATATGTTGATCCTTTTTGAAGTGACTGACAGTACAATACGGAATACAAGAGCGCTACTAACGCGATAAGTCACCTGGACTGAATACGAATAGCGACTGTTCTGCCTCAGACCTTATGCTTCACTGAGCTTTAAAAATCAGAAGACAGAAGTCGGCCTCTGACTGTAAGGAAGATACTTTATTTGACAAAAGCACATCATTCATTAAGAGTTCTCATTAGAACGAAAAACCAATAAGCCAGAAGTTGGATGCTTATTTTCATTGGTCAGCTATAGTACAAAATTATCCAATACGGATTTTCCTACCCACACAATAACGTGAAAGAAGGTTGATAACAGAGTGTTGATTTCAGTTTAGGCCACTTCCTATCACTCTTCCTTGTATTTACTTGCCAGATATAAAGGATGTCAGTAATAACAAAAGTCAAGGTTAAAATCATATAGTGCTGAAGTATATGCTGACTATGAAGTGTTTTAACTTTTAATGGGAAGGCTGTTTTGATTTCGGTTCAATAGTTTAGGGAGATGATTATCAACCAATGCGTCACTAGTTTGAACCCTACTCCACCTACATAGGTTTGGACAGCCAGGCTTACTGCCTCAATGTGCACACTGTTGCTGAATACGTTTTATTCGCTTCTTAGGTACGTCAAATCTATTTGTATCTTACATGAAAATGTTGACTGATTCTGAGGAAATTACCTCCTATAAACTAACCAATTCCACTCTAGAAATATTACCCTTCATGTTGAGTAAATCATAATCGAGTTTCTAATATTTTGATGACCAAAAGAAGTCAAGGATGCAAAAACAGTGAACGAGAAATCAAACCTTAAGTAACCTCAATTCAAACAATAAGAATCTACTGAAATATACACAACTGAATGGATCAATCGAATTAAAATAGATACATATCCACAGAGAACTCATCACACATATTTTTCAACTAACACTGAAAAACATAACTGGTATGGTATTGAAAGTTTTATTACCCTTTGACTACATACATCTTAAGGAACACTTGTATAAGTAGACAAGAACAAAACTTACCATTATGTAATTGTTTATTGACTTAGATTGCTTTTGTAAATGCTTCAAGAAAAAGAAATCTATCATAGATTGGACAGTGATGCAAGTTTTTTTTTCCCGCCAATATTGTTCAATAATTCAATCTGTCAAATATGTTTAAAATCTTTCATGTAGTTAATATGTTTTAAGTTTTTTATTATGTATATAGACTATCTACAGACTGTTGGTCATTATTTTCTTGTTGAGAGTTTTGCTTTGATTGTTGATTATTTAAAGTGGATAATAAATTACTACTTTCATCTATTTCTCTATTCAACAATAATGGAGCATCAATATAACCCATTGAATAGTCATAATAGATTGTACCTTCAGTTGGGGTAATTTTTGAACCACCAATAAAATCAAAATCATATAATTTTTGATTAAAATGTATAATTGTTTTATTATAATATACTGGATCAGTAAATAATACTAGTTTATATGATGGTAATTGTGGTATTTTTAAATAGATTAACTGAATTAGCATACTTCCTGTATAATCTAAATGTATTAATTGTTTAAATGATGTTGGCATATCTAATCGATTATATGTGGATTGTTTAAATGTCATCATAATCCATTTTTCAGTATCTTCAAGATTCATTTCATATATCTCATCTTCAATATCTTCTGTATAGTATTTAACTAATACTCGACAGAATACTTCATATAGTCTAATATATTCAACTAAACCAGTATTTTCAGGATCTAACCATTTATAAATCATGTGTAATTGAACATTATTCAATGGTATATTTAAATCTTTCAATGCTAATTTAAATTCAACTTTTGTTATAAACTCACGATTGTATATTGATAAGTATTGTATATATTTTCTTTCATTTTTATGATACCATTGTTCAAAAAATTGGAAAAATTCACTATACATTAATTTATTTGATTGATAAGTATTAACCTGTGAATCTAAATATTTATCATCAGATTTTGTTATTTTTTCAATTTTATTCAAGAATAATTTTGATAATTTTCTCTTTTTTTCCGGTGTTTTAGTTACTAGAAAAAGGTAAAGTCATCATCATCATCATTATCAACATAGGACCTGGCATTACTGCGTAACGGTCCGAGTTGCCACACCTCATATCAGCACATCAAGTAAAAAGGTAGTGAGGTGTAGGATGAAGATAATTGAATGCAGTCAAAAGAAATATAAAGTACGAGAAGAAAGGAAAGAGGAGTGACAAAATGGTGAGATTCGGTATAGCGTTGTTGAGATGAGGATAATGTGTGTATACATCTGCGCCACTGACTTCGGTTCTGAGCCATGTGATCACCTAGGGTCTCCAACCACTGGTTCCTCTTGTCCCGTGTAGACTAGGTGGTTGGGGTCCACGGGACAAGAGGAACCAGTGGTTGGAGACCCTAGGTGATCACATGGCTCAGAACCGAAGTCAGTGGCGCAGATGTATACACACATTATCCTCATCTTAACAACGCTATACCGAATCTCACTATTTTGAAAAAGTTAGAGTAAAATTACTTTAATAATTTATAATGTGTTAATGAATTAACTAGTTTATTGATGCATCAACTATATTACTTCAGATTGATAAACTGTAAATCCAGACATTTCCTACGAATCCTCCTTATGATGTTTAAAAGTGTGAATTGTGGTAACCTATCAGTGATAAATTCGTTGTTGAGATTTATTCATACAACTGAACACGTTATCCACTCATTTTAAGCTACTGTACATGTTAGCTGAAGTTGTTAAAGGTAACCAAACTGAGTTAAGGTATCAGTTGATGAAACTTTTGTCTGTTGGTGTGAGCCAGGTAAGAAAATATAGACTTTCGGATCACGTCCTACATGACAATATAAATCGGTGTTTGGAGATCTCAGTCGCGATGGTGCATCCACAGATCACTTTTATCCTATTTTTTGATTTATTGGATTTATCACATAGTATAACAGTATTGTTGACTAAATTACATTTCGGATATAATTTAAGTTGTCGATAGTCATATCAAGATAACTATACAACTCTGCGATATCCTTTATGTAGTTCTAATTTCTTCGTCTCCTTTGTGATATAAGGTAGTAAAATATTCCATATGTCCGGAAGAGGTGTTCAGTCATTTTTGTTGCATCTATTAAGTGTCAGTTGATTTGATAAACACAGATTCAGTTTTCAACCTCTCCCTCCACCCTATTGTATTAGTTTTAAGGATTCTCACCCTGTCCTATCCTATTGTGTGGTTATTTGTAATTCCCTGCATAGCTATATCTGAGCTTTTTTCTAAATTCCTTACTTTACTAGGACCTATCAGTTTTGACTTAGCTAGGTTTTTGTGCTCGGATAGCCTAATTGACCCTGGTCGACTGCTTTGACCCATGTATTTGACCTCTCACTGGTTGCAAGGGATTTGGTTAACTAAGTTATTTTGCTCAATTGGATCAGTTGGATCTTTTAACCTACAAAGCTTATTTCGAAGTGAGTTTGTAGGCTTAGGTGCCACTCTAATCCCAGCCAGCCTTATTGAAAATCCTACATGATGTCTTTGTGGTAGCTTCTTTGTATGGTAATGCTGTTGAAGTTTTGAATTCTCTGTTCACAATATTGCCACGACTATTATTAACATTATTATTACAACTGCTGTTCCCGCCTCTGTTACTAATATTTTTCTTACGGTCCCTAAGGAACTTATCAATTAATTTGGGAGAGTAACTATTGATCAGCAAGGTGACTTTAATATATCTGGTTTCTTTTCTTAGATCTGTTTTTTAGTGAGCTCTTTTGGCGCAGTTACTTGGACACTTTAGTAAGCTAACTTAAGGAAATGAGACCCACATAAAGGATATCTCAAAGTTGTGTAGTGATCTTGATATGACTATGGACAATAAATTATCTCTAAAACGTAATCCAGTAGACAATACTGTTACACTGTACGATTAATCTAATAAATGCATAAAATGGAATTACATTCTACCACGGTGCACAAGTTTTACTCTTATATTTTCATCCTAACCATGATATCAAATTTCCCTACCTATTTTAATCGTTTTCACTCTATTCCTATGATTTTCTATTACTTTCGACTACATTTTCACCCACTTCTCCATCCATCCCTTTGCTGCCATGTATTCTGATGTAGCTAATATGCTTTGTTTTGAAAATGGCGCCGTTACGCAGTAATTCCAGGTCCAGCATTATGAGTGACTGACCTGAGAATTTCCCCAAGTATATAATTTATTGTAGACTAGACCTTAGCACTCACTGTCAAGCTGTCGTAATCACAATAGGTGAAGGGCAGGATATCTATTAATTGCACTTTCAGTTACTTATAGCAATTCGGATGTGTTTAAATAAGTAACCGCATAGGTTATATGCAGAGCCACTTGTTTGCTCATAGGTGAACAACTACTCAAGTGGTCAAAAAAATCCTGAAATGAAGAATCTAAGAGATTGACTGATAAGGCATTCTCCAGACTGTTTGTAATGATATCAAAGCTTTCAGACTGTTCAAAGTAGTCAGTGCTTGTCATCTTAGAAGCCTACGCGATCTAAGTTGATAAACCAGATCTCTATGTGCAGAAGAAAATGTTGGTTACTTTGTATCCATCGCAGTAGGATTTTCAGTGCTCTGTGACTTAACTAATCATTTACTTTATTTTTAAAATCACCTAAAATAATAAAAGTAATATTAGTTATTGAATTTGTTATTTTGTCTTACTACGCTTTATTCGTTCCGTTAGTTTGTCATAGGTTTTCATCTATCTTTATATTATACACTCAAGTGTATTGAGTACTTAACTGAGGAGTTCGACTTAAATTTATGAAGCCACTCAATCCTGCTTATTTCACTATCGTTTCTTATCTGAAATTCAGTATCAGGAAAGTAGTGTTTTCAAGTAGTTAGTGATGAAGTTAGCAGTAAAGTCAATATCCAGCTTCTTACAGCTAATTAAAATTCTCTAGAAAAAGTAATAGGTGTTACTAGTAAGCATCATTCATAGAATTTACTCAAAGTTGGAATCCATAAAATCATTTCATTAACCATTTGGTTAACAATTCCTCATATTTATGAATGCTTTTGAACAATAACGAACCAGTGTTACACATGGCCATTGAAAGTGGAGGATACAAAAAGGCTTCAGGTGTTTGACCACCGTTGCCTTCGTAATATAGGACGTATTCCGTGGTGTCACCATGTGAGTAATGCAGAAGTTAGGTGTAGAGTTCTGGGGAGAAGAGGTAAGTCAGTCGATGAGGTTGTGAACCTTCATCGACTGAGATGGTTGGGACACGTACTACGTATGCCTAGTCACCGATTGCCTCGTCACACAATGTTGGCTGAGGTGGGTCCAGGTTGGAAAAAGGCCTGAGGTGGCCAGACTAAAACATGGCACCAATGTATGAAGTCTCTGACTGTTGGTTCAAGCCATGTAGGACGATGCAGACTAGGTGGTTGGGGTCGGTGGGACAAGAGGAACCAGTGGTTGGAGACTCTAGGTGATCGCACGGCTCAGAACCGATGTTAATGGCACAGATGTATACACACATTATCGTCATCTTAACACCATACGGATTCTCACCATTTTGTCCTTTCTTTCTTCTCCTGTTTTATATTTCTTTTGACTGCATTCACTTATCTTCATCCTTCACCTCACTACCTTTTATTTGATGTGCTGATATGAGGTGTGGCAACTCGGACCGTTACTCAGTAATGCCTGGTCCTATATTGATAATGATGATGATGATGAGTGTTACACAGATAAAAACTGCAAATTTGGGGTTTGTTCATACTAAAAAATGTTTCGTCATTTATACAACAGTTTCCTTTTAAATATTTCTAAGTTTCTCTAAGCTACTGATTTCAAATTTCAATGGTCATTTCTTTCCCAGACTTAATCGGCTTATCAAACAAGTGTTGGAAAATTGTAAAGATAATTCAGGATCTGTTATAAATATGTAATGATCCAAATTGCCACACTTCATATTAGTTTATCGAAGTGAAAACCAGCAAGAGGAAAGATGAAGTACTGAAAACAGTGGTACCATTAATCGAGTAAAGCCATCTAATAAAGACTAGAAATGATAAACCGAACTGAGATGTATTATTTGGATAGTGATATGGCTTGTAGATATCTGCATAACTGATGCATTTTCTGGGTTTTAGTACCTAGAAAACCTATTTGTCATACTAGCTTCATCAAGAAAGTCTATATTTTCATATACAGCTCAGGCAATTCATCGGAGATGGTTCATTCTGACCTGACCACTCTCAGTTTATTTTTTAAGTTGATTCTACTTCAGTTGGTGGACTGACTGGCAAAATCAACGTAGAACCTCACACACAGCTGAATCAGCTCAAGTTACTATAATTCACAGTAGTATACAAAGAACAGGTTGACAGAACAAGAATGATATCAAAGTAGACGAAGTTCCATATGTGAAATAACAATTTGGTGCAGATATTCAAGCTTTAGAAGGTATTAAGGAGTGAATACATCTGCACCAGTGTCACTGATTTTCAACCATGTCACAAGGAATCCCCAGCCACTGATTCATTTCGTCTCGGAGGCCCCAACTAAGCCGTCTAAATCTCTCCACATGGTTCAAACCAACAGTCAGAGACTTCATAGACTGGTACCACGTTGTAGTCTAGCGACCTAGAACCCTCTTCCAACCCGATGCAACTTCCCCCAGCATGGCACGTCAGCTGACGGAAGGTAGGATAGATTATGGTTTAGAATGTGTCACACGTGGCCCTGTCACTTCATTTCACCAGCTGATATCTCGTAACTTAATAATGCGATATTAGTCCGTGGATGGCTCCTGTAGTGACTGCCAGAATTTCAGTAATTTCAAGGAGATTAAGGGATCAATAATCTCTATTCCCTTCATGTCCTCCAACTAAGATGGTCATGTTTCACAGCAACTCAGTAGGATAAAGTGTTCTAATTTGAAGAACAACTACCTTATAATAGATATTCTGATATATTGCCGGAACCACCAAAGTTGTGTGTTTAGTGAAAGAGAATCGAGATTTCTGTATACCTGCTGAAATTTTGTTGGTTACCAATCCACCGTGGTTGATGGCAACTTTGAGATGAATGAAGTAATGAGTATGTTCAACCATTTTGATCACTACTGCCGAACTGGGAATCAGTGTATATCAATCCTAGAGTAACAACTTCTACTTGTAAAGTGAGGAACGTATACCAAACTCTTTTAGTAATAATGAAGAAAGGAGGGAAGTTCACTTATCTCTACTTAAGTGTTGAATGACCACTAACCCCAGGATATTGGAAACCGTTAATCAAGCTAATTCTTCTTTAATGTTGGTGCTTGTATTATCCCATCGTTGATCGTACCGAAGTGATCAGTCTGTTGGTGTATAGGCTCTTGTGCTGATCCATAGATATTGCCTGAGTTTAAGTTATATATTAATGATGGGTTGTGGCTAGGCACTTTTATTTGGGAACATGCGTACTATCTGAATAACTGGGATAACGCAAAAACTACACTAAATAGGGAAACCATGAGGAAGACTTTATCAGATTGTACCAATTGCATCTCTTTACACTTGTTTTTCATCATCGATACCAAAAAGTAGTCAGTCAGTTAGAATCAGTGTGGAACCTGGCATTGTTGTGTAACGAGGCAAGTCGTCACACTTCACATCAGAAAATCAAGATAAAAAGCAGGGAGAAGAAAGAAAGAAAAAAAGAAGTGATCGAATAAAAGTTCACAGAAAGTTACAAAATAGAAAAGGAAGGTTTAAGGCGGATAACGAAACATTAGATACGATGATGATGTGTAGATGCATGTGCATCATTGTGACTGATCCCGACTATCTTGTATGTAATCCGCAACCACTGATTTTGACTCTGTAGGAAATCTAAACCAGAATATCCACACCGTTCAATCCGGCTTTGATCAACACTCAGAAACTTCGTTGATTGATGTTGTATCTGACCACTCCTAGTTTTCTTTTCTCAACCTAATGTTACATCAGCTGACACACTGGATAATGATGTAACGTCCACAACACATGTCCCAAATACATCGGTAGAACGTTGACAACCTCACCAATAGACTTTTTACCGTTATCCAATATTCTATACCTAACGCACTAATTTGATTGTTACACACCGTGGTATCTATGCTTCTAAGGGAACGGTTGTTGAACCCCTGAAGGTATTTTGTGTCTCCTTAATTAGCAAAATAATATACATTTTGAAAGAACTTTTAGTGCACCTTCTTCGGACAAAGTGTCAACTAGAACCAAAATAAATAAGCGTCTTGATCCCCACTAGAGGCTTAAGGTGTTTTTAATTTGTTTTATCATTAAAGGCATCCGCCTATTAACATGTGGTATTTTTGATTTCTTTTTGTGCTGGTTAACACGCACATTCTTAGAGTCCGTAGTTCAGCCATAAGTTGGACAAACGTTTTTCCTAAAATCACCTTAGTGTTTATTTTACTTAAACGTATAGCTTTTTCAAGCATCTTCCTAATTAACTCAGTCTTTCCCATTTGTGTTTTATTATCAGTACTTACACGTTAGGTAAGGTACTAATTCAGTGGATAGTAGAGCACATCGAGTTAGGTAAGGCTGATTAAGTGTTACGTAGTAATAACACATTCCGTCTCATACAAACTGACCCAATACATAAATACACATTTAATAGAATGCTTGCAGTATGATCATTTTGATAACGGGTAAACAAATAATGATATAAATAATACATGTCATACTTCATCTTTTGAAACTGTTTTCAAATGTGACCGTTTGAATTGCTATACTTTTGTTAGAGGTTTTGTGTTATGCTATTTTTCTGTCTCTGTTCGTTCGATAAAGAATCACGTTTAGTAATATCACTCTAGTGTTGCCTAATAACATGTTATATCAAGATTTCAAATCCTTGTTTAGGTGAGACTGTGACTTATTGGTTTAAGGCAACGGCTTTTAATCAGTGGGTTGGGAGACGGCTCCATCTACCGAGATTTGGACAGTCAGGTAGTATCATTACTCACTGTCAGTCATATGGTTATTAAAAGACAGCCTGAAATAAACTTGAGGTTGTTATCGTAAAAGTGAAATGTACTACAGAGAAATGTACGAAGACGAATACTTCTCAGAGATAGGCAGACATAAGCTACGGAAACCAACTTATTTCTAAGTGAAGTTAACAAATATGATAGAGTTCTACTATGATAGTCCAAGTTACCTGTCAATCCTGCGCTTAATAATTAGAAAACGTTTCATATTGGTGATGTATTTCATAAAAACCTATCTAAGCTCTTAGTTCAACAGTCATAGCACATTTTTGGAGGTACATAAGGCAGGGAAATGTTAGCTGATTCATCGTAGATCAAAACCACTCTAATTAGTGAGACTTTCTGTGCCACTCACGATCTACCTACAAATGCATGCATTAACAGTAGCAAGACAGAAAGATTCGCTTCATTTCTATTGTTTGTAATGTGTCATGGATATGTGCCAGCTCAAATAGTTGCATTTGTGATACCACCAACGTCTCCCGCAAACGTAGAAGTTTTAATTACAGCTCAGTGCTCCTGATTTCACCAGACCTGATGATTAAACGTCCACAACCAAATATCAACACTCAAATGTGCCTAGTTCAGTCCTGCAGGAGATCACAACCCTAATAGATCAACGGTAACATCTCTGATTGCAGAGCTGGGTGGCCGGGGTTTGAGTCTCAGATGGGACATTAGTTCTGTAGAGGTTGTGGATGCACCTTGTTGACGAGTGCCAACAGGTACGAAATGTAGGTCGAATGGGGCTTCCTGTTGATTGCCTGTATGGAATTAACAACATCGAACCATTACACCCCTATAAGGAATGAATTGACGGTGTATATTCGTATGATTGTACTGAAAGCTATTCCACCCATTTCCTGATTTGACAAACATAACAAGTACATTAAGGTCAAGAGTGAAAATGTATACCATATGTCCTTCATTTAGGACCAATACCACGTAAAAAGTGACTTGGCAACATTTAGAGCATCCGTTATTTTCCATCATACCGGTGTTATGCTATGGAATCTTTGATGAATCTGTTGGTATTTCACTGAGGCAAGCCGATAAATACCCTACCACTTCATTTCTAATTTTTCCAAGGTCACTAAAGATAAGAAATGTGAAAAGTCTTTATCCCTTCCATAAAAGATTATGATTTATGTAATGCTTAACCGGAAAATACCTGATCGAGTGCTAATTTTATCATAATGACTGTCCATTGCTTCTATCATTTTAATGTGATTAATGAAGTCTGCTATTCATATTGGAATTATAACCATCAATTTCTTCAAAATTGTACATTCTGTTAAGCACAATTAATGAGATGTCTGACAGTCATTAGAAACGTTACTTTGAAAAAATAACTATACACTTAAAACACGGGTGACCTTGGTTGACTTTAAAGGTCATCCAAGCAACTGCTGGGATAACCAATTAGGCTTCTCTATATTTTAATGAAAACTCCTTTCCTAGCTGGAATACCAAAACCTGATTGGTTAATTCAGCAGTCTCCAAAGTGGCCTTTAAAGTCACCCTAGCTATCCTAGCAACTGAAGAAACTGCCGATTAGATGAGTGACTTCAAAGGCCACCCTAGCAACAACTGAAGTGACCGACCAGGCTTCTCTATTTTGTGAAAATCTAGCTTCCCAGCAAAAAGGAATAAACCTAATTGTTTATTTCGACTATTGCTAGGCTGGCCTTTATCATTAATCTGAAACCAGCGTGGAGATCTATTACATTCAGCACAAAGACCAAGATCCGGATTTTCAACACTAATGTCAGTCAAGTCAGTGCTTCTATATGGTTCAGAAACTTGGCGTGTCACGAAAAGCATTTCCAACAAACTGCAGACATACATCATCAACAGCTGCTGCCTACGCTAGCTCGATACTGAAGATCAGATGGCCAGAATAATAAGAATAAGCAACGAGAAGCTGGCTGGCTCGCAACAAACCAATCAAGAAGGTATCACCCAACACATATGCAGAAGGAGTTGGAGATGGATTAGGCATAGACTGAGAAGACCGTTTAGGGACATCACGCGCCAGGCCAGGCCGTCGAGTGGAATCAAAAGGGGTAGTGACGAGTAAGACGTCCGAAAGTGATATGCAGGAGATGGTGTGAGGAAGAAATAAAAGCTTCTGGGGAGACGGAGCCAGGTTGGAAAGACTGTAGAGAAGAGAGTGAGATGGTGACATGCTAGTGAAGCCGTATGTTCCACTAGGAACCCATGGGACAAATAATAATAATAGGGTGACCTTTAAAGTCATCCCAATTACATTTCTTTATTTTATGGAAAAGTACTTTCCAGGGCGAAACATTAAAGCCTGTTTGGTTATTTCTGCAGTTGCTAAGATGGCCTTTAAAGCTAGCCTAAAATACAAATGAACAATACCTCAGTTTTATACAGCAAATATTCAACTAACCTTCCTGTAAGTAATCAGTCATGATTCTTGCACACGAAATACAATATTGATCAAAATTATTGATTTCTCCGCATATTTTAATTCATTAACCTATCTAATAGTATAGGAAAGGTTCTGGTTGAAGTGAAGAAAATGCAAGATTCGAACGTATCTTGCCTTCAAGTCACTTGACTAAAAATGAATCAGAAATCTCTATCGAACAAAATACACTAGATACAGATTTCCCATGGTTATGGAAATCAAGACATAAACTTACTGGATTATTAGATCAAGGTGGAACATGCCACCTTAATACACTACTGCAAACATTACTTCATACACCAGAATTCACGTGTAAGTCAGTTCTAAATCCTACCTTAGAGACTAATTGTGTTAATTTATACATATCATACATAAATTGACAATGTCCGCTTGTTAGTATGATTACAATGAGGTGAATTGGTTACTCAGTGCATAACCGATGTAGTTGTCTAGTCCTACATACTCAGCACTAATTAAAGTCTATTGAACAAGTTGGCGATGTGACCAATGCTGGAGTGCTCTGTAGTGAATTGCCAGGAAGCCTTGGATCTAAGTACCATTCTTGTTAGCAGTCATCATTAAGGTGTGGGTTCAGAATGTCTTGAGTTAAAACATACCTCTTAAGTTTTATCATAGCCACACGTTATTAATCTAGTTGGGAGGGGTATTTTTATAAATAAAAGTTCAGGGTTTCAAAGACACGGCGCAATTACAGGTTTTTATCACAGTTATCTTCATAGCATTTCACTCTCCTTGTGGAATCACCGCGAGAACAATGTTGAGGTAAGGCAAAGGGTACTAAGTAAGAGAGAAAAGTCGATCAATGAAGTTGTGAACCTTATTCGACTGAGATGGCTATGAAATGTACTGCCCATGATGATTAGCCGCCTACTTCTACGTGCCGTGATTCCTAAAGTCATATTAGGTTGGAATAGGTTTCAAGGTGACCAGACCACAACGTGGCATCAGTCAATTAGGCCCTTAACTGTTGATCTAAGCTATGTGTAAAGATGTAGACTCCCTGGATGTGGTCTCCGAGATTATAGGAATGAGTGGTTGAGGACTGTTGGTAATATGACTGAAAATCGATCACTCTTTGACTTGTTCTAAAGCTTCGATATTTACACTTACCTTTATCTTCATGTTGTCTCACACAACTTTGTCTACTTTGATATCGCTCTTTTTCCATCCACCTATGAATTATGGCAACTTGAACCGACGGACGTGTTTGTTACTGAAGTAACCAATTTTATGAATGTACAGACAAAAGTTACAAGTTAGAAGTTTGCGCAAAACTGTTTTGTATCAAGCTAATATACTTTATCAAGGTGCAGAGAAAGATAATTAATTATAATAATCAGAGAAAAATGAACAGAAAGAAGAAGATGAGTAAAGACAGAAAAAAATCAAACGAAAACTAAGAAAACCTTTAAGTCGAGAGACTGCTAAAGTATGAACACGTCATAGTCATCTCTATCGATTTGCATCCGGATTACGAAGAGTTTCTGATCATTTATGCAAAGCATTTCTAGGAGTCCAACCATAATAACCTACAATGTTCTAAAAAAATACGCCACTAATCTTACTGTCGGTTAAATCGCTTCCTATTTGGTGTGTCCCAGTTAATTGTTGCTGAAACACCTCACTGCCATTGCAAGTTATCAGATACGACACTTGGGAGTATTCTCAAACTGTATAGCGTTACGCAACAGCACGCTAATCTGGATAATATGGATTACGGTGTAGCTTGTGAAATCCATGAATAAATAGTATTGACTCTAGGTATACAGATTAAGCGTAGAAAAATTGATCCGTTGATAAGACTGTGGTCATGAATTGATTGATGTGACTACGAAATGTTTTATACATGTTGAATAAGCATTTAGCTTGTAATGAACTTTTGATTAGACTAGTCATAGAGGAGATGCATCATGTCAGAATACGGTTGCAACTTATGAAATCATTGACAACTTGTCATGAGTAGGAGAAAACCTTTAGACTTTTTGGACGAAGTATAATGGCTAGTGAAAATTGGCGGCTAGGACTGTAACATGGGGTATAACCTTTAACAGTGAAGCGGATTTATTTTTCTTTTATTTTACTGTCAATAATAGACAACTTGTCACTTCTTTTCCATTTTCTTCTCTATTCCTGTTTGGTTTTACTTGTTTTCTAGTTATTTTTATGATTATCATACTATGAGGCCTAAAACTTTTGGTCTGAACCGTAAAAGGGGAAATAAGCTTTCAAGTCGAGGTTGACAAGAAGACCAAGGTTGGTGATCAACGATTTTAAGCCATAGGATCCAGAATTTATGACACAGATGTGGATATAAACACACCACATCTAAGCCTAAGTCTTGAGAACCTTACTAGAATAAAACTTCATACACTCTATCATAATTTCTTATTGTCTTGTAGTTTTCAGCCTCAGATATAAAATATGATTTACTTCTTTGATACAGTTCTACTAATTTTCGAAAATCACTATTCACATGAGCTATGAATCCCTATATGTATGAAGCTACTAAGCGGGTAATAAAAGTCAGCAACCAGAGAGGTTTGAACTACAAAATCTCTTTCCAGATGATTTACGAATTGTGTGGTCTGTGTTGACATTCTCTACAGTTGAGTAGTTTTTCAACTACCCACCTATAGTATCTACAGGGTTTCCGTTGGAAACCACTGAACCAAGACTATATGGTGTGACCTCTCACAAGAACACGTTATGAAATGACGAAATATACTACTGAACAACATAAGTAGCTAAAAACCAATCAGGCTGATCTGTAGATTTTACCAGCCAGATCAAAGTGATCTACATACCGGATGGCTGTTGTTCAGTAGTATATTTCAGAATCTCTCTTCCGTTAGGCTTATTGGCCCATCTACTCCTATTATTATTATTATATCATTACTAGTCCCTTGGGTTCCTAATGGAACATAGGGATTCAGTAGCACGTCTCCAGTGAACTCTGTTCTCTGAAATCTTTTGAACCTGGCTCCACGACAGCCCAGAAGCTCTCATTTCTTCCTCACACAATCTTCTCCATGTCACTCTCGGACGTCCAACTCGTCGCTTCCCATGGGTGTTCCACTCGACGGCCTGACGCGTAATGTCCTAAGTCGGCCTATTACTAGAAGCAGATATTCGAAAAGTGTTACAATGACAGTACATGCTGTTTCAAACTAGAACTAACTATGAAAGATCAAGAAGCAGATGCAATCTAACTGCTAGACACTGAATTCTCCTGTATTTAAACTCAGTTTTCACTAATAAGAGAAACGCACCGACCAAATGCTCAAGGTTACACCAACTTGGGATAAGCCATTATGTGTAGCACCTATCAAAATTAGTTCAGTTGAAGAGTGTTTATAATTCCTTTTTTCACTGAATACTTTACAATAAAACAACATACTAAAGATACAATAGTTCTGTCACACATGAATGTTACTCAGAAGATAACAACGATAAAATAATAAAGCTCTCTTGTTGTAATGCTCTAATTCTGTTGACAATTTGGTCCTGTATAGCAACAGGAAATTACAAGTATCATAACAATATCAGGTACCTATTGGCATACTAGATAACGCTCTATCCTTTAAAGCGATGGGTACTGGGATCGTTCATCAATGGAAACAACATCACTTACTAGGGTACAGGTACATCCAGCTGACGAATCTCAAATAGAACAAGACGCGCTTCCACGGTTCCTCTGCTAGTCATCAAGATCAACATAACAAAGCCCTTTTAGTTCCTTCACATTTCCATCACAAAAGCGTACTAACTTTGAAAAGAACGGTTAACAATGTATTTAGTTGTGTTTTCAATAATGTTTCTGAGTGTGTTTAGCGGTAAACTTTAGTGAGCAATACAGTATTAGCAATCTGATGACGACGAAACCTGAGGTCTACTACTTAAAAGTAGATTGCGAATGAGCGTGGAAATAGAAGATGAGTTTCTTGTAAAAGTTTTCCAAAATCAATCTATTAGTGCTGATCTCAAGTAGAAGCGGAAACAAGAAGAACGGTAACAGCAAATCACTATATATTCCCACACAACCGACACTAGTTACAAAAGTGATATTCTTAGGAAATTGGGTAGTACAAATAAACAATCTCTCGTCTTTACATATGTTAAGAGAAAGGTACAGAATATAGGAAATAATGTGAAGAAACAATTTTCAATTTAGGGATTCTTGGAAAAGGTACTTACACAGTCTTCACAAACCTGAGGAGTATTTTTTCAGTAAAATAAGACATAAAATAAAGGTCCAAACAGTAGAAGTTTCTGTCTGGAATCCGGATTACATGACCTGGATAAAAAGGCTTGGTTCAGATGCCATAGTTAATGAACCGTCATGATAACCAGTGCGAATTTATGACCCAAGAGGTGTCTTCTCAGAGGCAGAAAGAAAAAGTTCTTGTTGGTTGCTTGAAGGTAGTCAGTAAGATATCCTAAGCCTAGGTTTCGTGCTTGTTGGCATAGGTGCAACACTGTGGTGATTCCTCTATCTTCATGACCACCGTGAAAATGAACCACAGAATATTGTCAGCACTTAAGACTAAATCACATAAAATTGGTAGCTGCCAAGTAACCAATGTACACAACAAACAGGACAGACAGATAAGTCCTGGCACAGAAGTGTCAGTGGTATATTAAGAACAACTAGACACGAAAGAAGTTTATAGGTAAGACAGAGTGTATCTCACAAGGGGGAGACGAAACAAACGGAGCTTCATGAGAAGGCACAAACTCTCGAAGATATTTAAGAGTGAATACAACTTCGTCAATATAACCACTTTTCAACTATGTCATCAAAAGTCTCCAACCATAGATTAGTGTCATTTCTAGGGCCACAGTTGAACAGAATAAACCTACCTGCACAGCTCGGACTAACAGTTATACATTTCACGGTCCTGTGATCTGTCTTGTTCTTGTTCTTACCACCATGAGCCATCTTCCGACAGAATTCTAGTTAAGTTAACATTACATGTCGAAGTAGAACATGACTTGCTTTACTCGTGCACAGTATATCCAAACCATTTCAGTCGATGAAGGTTTTCAATATCGTCGACTGAATTACTTATCGGGCCTAATGCTACATACCAAACTATGTCTATACTCACGAGGTGAATCCACTAAATGCGAATATGGTTGCGAAGGTACGAGACAACAGAACTTGTTATTTTTTAGTATCTTACTCACTCGACGACTATACATGACAGCCGTATAATAGGAGAGAAAGAAATGTTGTTCAGTAAACTCATCCAATAATAAGTTGGGGAATATCTTGTAGACGATAAGTATAAGGTACGTTTCTTCCTGTCCGAAATGAGAT